CTTTCTAATTATATATACAAATAAGGTAGTAATTAAAGATTTAATGACCGAGATAAAATTTATCTTACATACATATATGTATTAAAAACTTATTTTCCACAAAATAAATCTACCTAACTTCCATGACCCACCCACCATTTCCCTTCCTTCGTTCATATTCCTCTCTTCCCCCTCTCTTCTTCTCCCACTTTAGGGGTCAGACCGGGGGCTTTCTGAAGGCCGTTTTGAAGCCCGACTCCGGTCCAACCGGGGGTTTGATAGGGGTTTCCTTAACTGAACTCCCACCTAAGGTTAAACCACTTGGTCTGAAGTGGGTTTACAGGGCCAAGCTGCTGGAGGATGGGAATGTTGACAAGAGCAAGGCCAGAATTGTAGTCAAAGGGTCTGCACAATAACATGGAGTTGATTATACTGAACTTTTTGCACCTGTAGCCAGATGGGATACCATTAGAACTCTTCTGGCTCTTGCTTCATTTCATGGTCTCATAGTATACTAGCTGGATGTCAAGAGTGCATTCCTCAATGGAGAGCTTTCTGAAGACATTTATGTTGAGCACCCTCGAGGGTTTGAGGTTGCTGGGGAGGAAAGTAAGGTGTATAAACTTCATAAAGCTCTCTATAGACTCAAACAATCCCCCAGAGCTTGGTACAATAGGATTGAGGGTTATTTTCTGAAATCTGGGTTTGAAAAGTGCCAGTATGAACATACCTTGTTCATTAAAAGGGAAGCCAGAGGAATTCTAATCCCGAGTCTCTATGTGGATGATAATATGTATGCTGGTAGCAGTGAGGAGATGGTGGAGGATTCATGGCTGCTATGAAGTCAGAATTCGAAATGACTGACTTAGGCAAAATGAGGTTTTTCTTGGGTGTTGAAGTTACTCAATTTGACTCAGGGATCTTCATTAGTCAGCCCAAGTACATCAAGGAAATTCTAGAGAAGTTTGGTTTGGCACACTGTAATTTTGTGCACAATCCTTTAACTCCTGGAATCAAGATGACAAAGGCTGGGGATGGAATTCCTATTGATCCCACAGAATACAAGTAGTTGATTGGCAGCTTGTTTTATGTTACAACAACTAGGCCTGATGTCATGTTTCCAGTATGCCTGTTGAGTAGATGCATGGATTCACCACAAGACAACATTTATTGGCAACCAAGAGAGTACTTCGATACCTGAAGGGAACAATGGGTCATGACATCTGGTATAAAAGGAATCAAGGGGAGGAAGAGCAACTGCTGGGATACACAGATAGTGACTATGCTAGTGACTGTGATGATAGGAAATCTACCAGTGGTTATGTGTTTTTGCTTGCTGGAGCAGCTACCTCTTTGGCCTCCAAGAAGCCACCAGTGATTACCCTCTCCACAACAGAAGCAGAGTTAGGGATGGCAATGGGTCGGGTTTTGCCAAACCCAAACTCATGGGTTTATCCGTGAAAAAAACCCGGGGTAAAACCCACTGGGTTTGAAAAACTCAAACCCAACCCAACCCGCTGGGTATCCGCGGGTTCATGGGTACCCACGGGTTTTTGTCGTAAAAAATTTATAATAACAAGTTCTATCAAAATTAAAGTCAAATATCAATCTTTCAATACAAATTATCCATATTTAAAACACCATTCTAGAAAATTCAAGCAAATCACAAATTAACTATACAAATTGTTCAACACCAATCTAGAAAACTCAAGAAAATTGAAGCAAATCACAAATTATCCATAAATAACATGCTTAATTGAAAGCTTCTTCCTTTCAATTAAGTTTCTTCACTCTCCACTAGATAACATCAACTTCATTCTACATAATTAGAAAGAAAAAATTAGACATGTCTCCACAAACAAAAATAAGATTAGTTGTTTAGAATATTAAATATACCGAGAAAATTAATTATATGGGTGTGGGCGGGTACCCATGGGTCGGGTTTACCTAAACCCAAACCCAACCCAACCTGGTGAATAGTGAACGGGTTTAAACCCAAATCCTGGCCCAAAACCCGTCAACACGGATTTTACCCGCGTTGACCGGATTGGATCGGGTGGGTACCTGTGGGTTCGGGTTTTTTTGCCATCCCTAAGCAGAGTTCGTGGCAGCATCATACTGTGCTGCTCAATGTATCTGGTTGAGAAGGATTTTGCAGGTAATGGGCTGGGAAAGCAGTGTAAAGAATGGAACAAAGAACATGTGTGATAACAATTCCACTATCAAGCTGGCCAAGAATCCAGTCATGTATGGTAGAAACAAGCATATTGATGTTCGTTTCCACTTCTTAAGGAATCTGGTGAAGGAAGGAGTTATGAAGCTGTTATTTTGTGGGACTGCTGATCAGGTAGCAGATGTGATGACCAAATCCTTGAAGTTGGACACTTTCCAGCTTCTACGAGGCAAGCTTGGAGTATGTGGTGCTGATGAGATTGGAGTTGCAGAGGTTAACTGAAGATCAAAGACCAGCTTCAGTTCAGGGGAGGATTTGTTGGTGCAGAACTGAAGCTGGTAGGAAGAAGCTGAAGAAATTTGAATCCGTTGCGGAGAAGGATTAGCGATGGCTCCAAAGAGTCAAGTTTAAAAGAGAATTAGTCTGGATAAAAGGGAACGACGCCGTTTGGTTTATGTAATTCCTGGTCCAGTTATTTATGTCTTATGTCTAGTTTGGTCTTGCAAAGCTGTTAGTTGCAACTGCGAGTTAGTAGCTTGGTAGTTAATCGTGTTAGCTAGTTTGAAGGGTCATGTTAGTGGTTAGAGTCGTGGATGCCGTGATTTGTGACTAAAACCAACGTACAAAACTTTGAGTCTTTCATTTTCAATAAAGATTGTCAGATTGCAATCAATTGAGCTCTCACATTAGCACCCTAACTCTGTCTTTCGATTTGAATGAAAGTTCTATATTATTTTCAATATATTATCCGATTTGGTCCAAACAAAGTATTCATTTTTTTTCCTTTTCCAAAGAAGTACTCTTACGTTTATTTTGGGATAAATAATCAATTATTCTTTTAAACCAACTAAGAGCTCGTTTAGAGGAAATGATTTGAAGCATAGTTTCCCGCTCCGCTCCCTCTTTCCCCCTTCGCTTCGCTCTGCAACCCACTTCCGTCGGTCGCTTTTGCAGTCCGTCTTATCCCTGTGATTGAGTTCCTACATCTGTATCTTTTGCTGTTGGAGCATAGGTTCATTGAATACATAGATTTAGCATAAATTTATGTTTTTTATTATAGATTTTAGTTGGGTTATAGGTATAATATGCCCCTCTACTATGACGTTTTATCAAACATGCCCTTATACTATTTTTTACATCAAACATGCTCCTGTACTTTGTAAAAATGATCAAACATGCCCTTTTGTTTAAATTTTCATCCAAAAATCGTTAACCAAGGTCGAACTTTGGTTTGGGCGGCACAAATGTCTAAAATATCCCTAATAATTTCACTTTAGAATTTTTTTTGTTCTTTTTTATAGTCAAATAATTCAAATAATTTCACTTTGAAGAGACCCAGAGAAATAAAACGGGAGAAAAAAACTGACATTTTCGCTCCCATTTGCCGATGTCGGGTCGTCTAAATCTCGGTTCAACCATGATTGACGATTTTATCAATGTAAATCTTAACAGAAGGGCATGTTTGATAATTTTTTCAAAGTACAGGGGCATGTTTGATGTAAAAAATAGTAGAGGGGCATGTTTGATAAAACGTCATAGTAGATGGGCATATTATACCTATAACCCATTTTAGTTCCAGAGAATTCAAATCTCCAAAATTAGAGATATCGAATCTCTCATAATCAGAGAGATTTATATATTGATATGTGAGACTTTTGTTACACCTACTTTATCTTTTTTTTATTTATTTATCCCACTGAATATCCTTAGAAAAAAATAAAATCAAAAGTTTTGAGTCACTTCTTTTGTTTAAGGCTAAACATGCCATTTGCTAAAAAAAATTCTACTTTTGTTAGAGTTTAACAATCACAATTTACAAACAAAGAAAATTATATTAAAATCTTTTTAGAGCAATCGGGAAAATGGGAATCTTTAAGGATTGTTTACAGACCGTTTGGTACCAAATGAATCTAGAATTCATTTCGTTTTAAAATGAATTCCTGTGTTTGGTATATGCTATTAGCGTTACAATCAAATTCTTGTCGACTTTACTCATACTGCATGAATTGTCGCCAAATTATGTCATTTTATCATAATTGGTAAATACTTGTGGAATTTATTTGAAAATTCCATCACAATTCCTAGGAATTGCTATAACTAGTTCCAATTTCGTAGAATTCAAAAATTAGAATTGAAAATGAATTCTTTTAAATACCAAACACAAAAAGATTTCATTTCAAAATGAATTCCTAAAAACTTATGTAATTCATTTATACCAAACGGTATGTTAGAGAACATGTTTTAGGTTGTGGATTCACTAAATCTGTGGATGTTGTAGAAATTTATGTTTTCTGGTTACTTTTTGTATTATCAATTTTAGTTGTAGAGATTTCAAATCTCTAAAATCAACAAATATCAAATCTCTCATAATCATAAAGATTCTATATATTGAATCGTGAGTTTTTTTCTTCTACTTTATCCCTTCCTTTTTTATTTATCACATTAAATATATTTATTAAAAATATTCTCAATATTTATCGAACTAGTCTAATTTTTTTATTCAGGATAAACATATTATTAAATATAAAAATATAATTTTTTATTTTCATTAAATGGTAATATTATGGTTATCAAACATTAAACATGTTACAATCTGTTTTTAACAATCCGAAAAATTAAAATATTCTCGGAATGAATGATACAATTTTAGGACTCAAATTCTCCAAACTAGCTTTTAAGTCTGTCCGGTCTACCGTGGTTTGGGCCAATTCCGGGTCCGATTTAGACCGTCCCAGACTATCTTCCGGCCCTATCCGACTTCTGAGTCCACGATCGAATCCAAGGCCCAATCCAAAAGATCAACGGTCTATATTCATCCTGAGGGGAAAAAAGGGGAATTGAAAGCGAGAAGACTTCTCAGTCCTGCTTCTGCACAGCCGACTCCATCTCAATTCTCAAGTGGTTTACTTGCTGCTTCTTTGTTTCCATCAAAACCTCATCTCGCTGCCTCTCAGATCTCTTCTGCCTCTGCGTCTACCGTAAGGTATCTTCCTTCCTGCCATAGACATGTTCCCCGATCTCCGATTTTCTCTTCTCTCTTAGATCATGTTCGTTGTTCCATCCCTTCTCTTTGTATTGCATTCCCTAATTGATTAATTAGTTTCGATTCGGAGCTGCTGATCTCTGCCTTTCTCCATTAAAGCTCCAATCTTTCGATAGGGAGATGTGAGATCTCGATGCTGGTTGCGTTACCCGGAACTTCCGATGTTTGTATTGACACTGGGTGGATTGCCCACGTGTGGAAATCTGTTGGAGGGATTTGCTGGTGTATTTAGAATTTGAATGGTATGGTTGCATGTAGGATTTGATTTAAGTATCTGAGCTGAGAGTCTGAGATCCAGGACCAGGACTGGTAGTTGTGAAATTCGCCTTGTGGGTTTGATAGTAGGTTTGGGTTTCTTTCGATTCCGTGTTTGCTGATTGATTTGATCTGCTTAGTTTGAGAGAGGGATTTGATTATTGTTCTGGCGTTTCTTATAGAGAGTCAGTTAAGCCAGACAGACTTTGTTGTCGATTCGATGCTCCTTGTATATGGAGTTTATGCATTTTACTTTACCTGCCTAGAACTTAACCTTCGTTGGTTGCACATTACGAAGAAGGGTTGAGAGTGCTGCTTTTTCTTTTCTTTTATATAGTTCTTGTGGTTGGTTACTGTTATGCTGGTTGTCTGTAGTTTTCTCGGGGAAAAATGGCAGAGTCGAAACAAGAATTGAAGAAACCCGAGTTTATCAAGGTGGAGCAACTTCGTCCAGGGACTAGCGGGCATAATCTGAGGGTTAAGGTTGTCAATACAAAGCAGATAGTACGACAGAGGGGTCGTGCTGAATCTTTGGTGGGAGATGAGACTGGAATGATTGTATTCACTGCGCGGAACGAGCAAGGTAAAATCTCATCATGATCGTGCATTGGATGTTATTTAGCTTTGCACATAGTGGGTTTTGATTTAACCTGCGTTGACAACTTATTATGAGAAATTTTGTTAATGGGCGTGCTCGGGAAGACACAGTTAAGGGGTTTCTGTTTACTAGTGGGTTTCCATCCCTTCGCACTAGTTAGAAACCTTTTGAGACGTGATGACCGTGATCTTATGTATATTTTCAGTATCCCTATTTGTTTAACTTATCCTGGCTTCATTCATGCAACTACTTATCCACCATCTGTTTTCTGTTGCTTGTTTAGTGAATGTGATGAAAGAAGGTTCTATCGTGGACATTGCCAATGCAAAAATTGAATTGCAGAAAAAATCAATGAGGCTTGTTTTGCCTTTCGATAGGACGGGATCTGTTAAAGCAGCAGCAGCTGAAGCTGCAGATATCACTGTGAATGAAGACTGCAACTTTTCACTGATTGAATTTGATCAGGTCTCTATTGTAGAACCTTGAACTCTTCTTCAGGTCTTCATTATCACCCTTACTACTGGAGTGCATGAAGTAAAAATAACTCCTGAAGAAGCAAACTACTGTTACAGTAATCGTCTCATGTCAACAACAATTAGCTGCCTTTGGAACTTGGTTTGAATTTTGGTTTGGTTTCACTTGCATCATATCTACTTTTAGTTTTGAGACCCTTTTTGATTGATGTTGAACCATGTGGGCAAAGAACGTATCAATTATCGGATGATCAAGTGAGAAAGTTAGCATCTACCTTATTCATCTATCTGGTCTTCTCTTCTCCTTAGTCCTGCCCAACTATGTAACCTGCAGCGAGGTAAACCATTTCCCATTGCAGCAGTGGGTACTCGGTAGCTCGAAACTTCCTTCACTGTGTCCTGCAGCAAAGCTGGCTGAGAAGTGACGACAATAAGGGAGAACAAACACCCAAAAGGGAAGTAGCTTTCATTCAGCTGTCCTTTCAATCACAGGGTGTGGAGGATACGGTTGTAAACTCGTGATGGAATGTGGATAAAGAAGACAACAAGGTATATGGTTAAGAGGCCGCAGAGGCAGGCAGGACAACAAAACACAGGAGCTGCTAACCTTTCTGTGTCAGGTAGTTCCAGTTTCTCCCCCGTGAACCAAGCTTTCCCGTGCAGCTCAAGAAAGAAAACAAGAACCGTGTTGTTGGGGGGGCTCACTTGACAAAACAACGCGGAAACAAGTAGAGTAGATTGAAATTGTGGGGGTCAGATTCAGTTGAGCTCTCCACCCTCATTAATATGACAAAAACAAAGCTATCTTATTCCTTCACCAGGTGACAACTATGTTTCGAACACTGGTTACTCAGTTTGGGACTGCAAATTCACTGATATATGGTAAACTCAAACCAAAGTGTTGCAGAGGTGAAAGACATGTTATGTAAACAACAGAGAAGTTGGACCTTGAACTTGAAGTTTCTAGGGTTATGCAGACATGCAGAACCAGAAGCAAACACAAGGATCCAAACCCAAATGAAATGGAGCCAGGGTTATAGTACTATCCCCACACAAACTAGTGGAGGGGAAACTGTGTGTGGATAGTACTATAACCCTGGCTGCTACTGCTGCTGCTAACTGCTAAGTGCTCATAACTATTCACTGGTTGTGCTGTTTCTCTTGTAGGACCTCAGTTCCTATTAACCAACAAAGCTTTTTCCTTGGGTGCTTTCCATTCCATGTGGAAACTCTCCAGAGGCTCCATTCCCCTGAGCTGAAAGGACTACCCTGATTAGAAAAAGGAAAAGAAAAAGCTGCCATGGATGCCCTATAACGAAATGGAACAGACTAGATAGCACTCATCTCAGGGAAAGGTACCAGAACTTAAGACACCCCACACAAGTATTGTTAGTCCGAATAACTCGAACTGTTCAGAGAGAGGTCCTAGCGTAAATCTTAATACGATTTCCCGTACAAGCTGTTGAGCGGCAGCACGTTGGTACTAGCAGATGATATTGTTGTTGTGAGTATCTGCAGCAGCTGGCCAAAAGATCAGATTGATCCTAACGACATGACTCCAATTGGCTCACACCACGCTTTCACATGCAGTTCCCCACCACCACCAAATGTTTGGTTGAAATGTGCAGCCCGCCATGATTTCATGAAACAAGCAGAGCATAGCAGCAGCCCCTTTTTCTGGTATCAATGGCGAAAAAAAGGTGGAGAGCTTCATTTCATAAAGAGCCATGACGACACATCCACGCACTGATGATGCAAATCAACACTCTAACTAGACATAGCCCTCCATCTCTTTAATCTCCTCAAATGTGGGATTTAGTTGTTAATAATATTTCCCTCTGCTAATTAATGTGGGTTAGAAAAGGAATGTACTTTGTAACACCACCATTACCATGTCGATTCATCAATCAGTAAGTAGGTAAGAGCTTATCCCAACGTGTCAATTATCCAAAAAGGTAAAAATGGCGAGATCCCATTCCCATCCAATACCAAAACAAAGCACAAAGGCAATTTACTCTTGATTAGACCTCTGCAGCCGGCATGAGTCAGAAGGGTAGAGGGCCAATTTAGCTTTGAAGCCCAATTTTGTAGGTGAAAGTTAAACTGATGCGAACTTTATATCGTTTTAACTTTATTCAAAAGTTGGAGTTTAGGAAGGCGGTTTGATTAACCTATAATGTTGCAGCATTCCACATGATTCCATAATTTTGACTAGTTACATCTAGTTTTACATCTATGTATTGCAACCACTCGTCAATTGCTATTTATTGATTGAGATGTTCGTATTATTCGTATTCTTTGAAATGGTAACTGTATTACTAATTTTCTTGTCCATTTAGATACGTGATATCTTTAAATCTATAGACGATATTGATTCTGTACGCTCTATCTTATCTTACTACGTGATATGTAATGCATTTACAACCTTCAAATCCATATCAATGCAACTTATATTAAGTATGATAGAAAGTCACCTTTTTAGCTCCCATTATATAAAAAGAAAAGACAAACCACGAGCAAAAGCATGTTAAGTACAACATGTTTATTAGCCGAAATAAAGTATTAAAAAAGTGTCAAATTGGGGCACATGCAAAGTTTGAACTCTCCAAGTCATAACCATTATTGACAATTATCTCTCACCCAACCTAACACTCTGTTTTCTTATGCACTCTGTTTCCTTTTCCATCTTTTTGTTTGGGCCATGGTGGAAGTAATGCAAGCACAATAAGTGAAGGCCCATTGCTCATTACAGAATAAAAATGGTCCAATATCTTCATCATGCCCTGGGGAGCGCCTTATCTATGGCTTCCACTTTATTAATTGTTTCACTTATTAAAGTGAAAGCAGACTGATTGCTTGCTGCTGCTGGTCAAATGGAGGAATATGAGACAAGAAAGCTGATAAAGATAACGATGATGGTCCAGTCAGCATTCAGTGGTTAGAAAACGAATCAAAGACCACAGAAATATAAGCCTCTGTGCCACTGTGGTTAGCTTAACAGTTAGCACTAATTAGCTTGATTAGTTTAGTGGGGTTTCTTAATCTCTTGATAATGCATGCCCATTTTGCAGAAGAAACACAATTCAAATGAGGGGGATTAGGTGACCCTACTGATGCCCTCCATATATGGCCACTTTGTCTCTTCTTAAGTGGGAGTTTGGCCCTCTCTAGTTGTAGTCCATAACAAAGCATCCAAAGCCCTTTTGCAAAAGGATCACTCATCTCATAAGGCACTATGATCCCAAAGCTACCAAAGCACCATCTAAGAAAGATAATGTCTTTGCAATAAGATAGAAAAATGGAGATATTGATGAGTGTTACATATGTATATTCTTCACGACAATGCGATTTCATATTAGTCCAGTTAGAGGTGGCAATTCTCAATCCAATCCACCAATCCAAATTCATCAACCCATTAAAAATATCCACCTAATCCAATCTATTTGATCCAAATGACAAATTACAGTTTGGTACCTATACTTTTATATTTTACATTTTGATACCAAAATTTAATTTTGTATACGAAAATATCATTGGAAAATTACGTTTTGCTACCTAAAATTTTTTATTATGACATTTTAGTACCTAAACTTTTCACATTTTACATATCGGTCCTTGGTTGAGGATGCCATTTGGATTCATGATAATCCACCAATCCACTTGATCCAATCCATGAATCCATGGATTAATCCATTTGCCACCTCTAAGTCGAGCGTAATGTAATCATTCTCTTAAAATTGCCTACCAAGTGTCCTAAACCAGTTAGTCCCAATAACTCGAGTTGTTGGGAGAAGGTTATGCTGGATCTTATAGCACTCTCTAACACGCCCCCTCAAACGAAAACCAACCCACAAGCTTGAAGTTTGCATAGGTCCGCCATACCTTGTGCTTTTCATTAAACGGGTCGTTTGCTTCATGGATTTGAAAAATGAGGGTTTTGGTAAAACCTGGGTTTTGGAAAACCATGGATATATGATGGATTTGGTGGCATTATGGATTTGAACAAGTCTATTGTTTGCTTGATGGATTTGATTATGGACTTTCTTTGATTAGATTTGTGGATATTAAATACAAATTACCTAGTTACCCTTATTTAATTATATTTCTATATTATAATCCAAATCTTTCATTTAAAACTAATCCAAAACATAGAAAGAAATTTTAAAATCTTTACCATTATGTGGATTAATAATTCAACTACAAATATAGAAATGTATTACAATATGGCACTAATTAACAATTCATCTTGGCACTAATTAAAAATTCATCTAATAATCCTTCATAAAAAAAAACAATTCATCTAATAATGTACGCAATATTATGTATCAATTGCAGCCAATTGCTCGCTTTATTGCTACAACTCATCATCTTCTTGCTAACTCACCGATGTGGAATCCGACAATCAATCAAATAATAATGTACAAGATGAGCATAAAGTGTTTCTAGGTGAATCTAACAAATCACATATACATTCATATTTAAATAAAATACGATTATAAAATGAAATGATAAATTCTCATATTTATAAAATACGAAATTATAAAAGTTTACAGTTGCATGACCATTGAATTAAAGTAGGACAAATTTGTAATCAAAGAAATAATTAAGGGTAGAAAGGTAATTTACCATCATGGATTTTAATCCATCACCAAATCCCACCTCAAGAGGTGGAACTTCCAAGTCCGTGGGGTCCACGGATTTGGAACCCCAAAAGTGGTGGGCCCCACAAATTCCATCTCCCTAATTCCCTAAGGCAAACGATGGATTTCTGTTCAAGTCCATGATGGATATATTTGCATGACCAAATCCATCACCAAAACCCTCAAGCAAACGACCCCTAAGTGTTATATTGGGGTCGCGGAGATTCGAACACACGACCACTTGGCCAAACCAGCTCTGATACCATGTCATAAACCAGTTAGTCCCAATAACTCGAGTTGTTTGGAGAAGGTTATGCTGGATATTATAACACTCTCCAACACCAAGTTCCTGTCTAGTTTGGATCTAATAGTTAGTGTCAATATCTCTAATGGTTAATGTCATGTGTTAAATAAAAATGCATCTCTTGCATGACATAATATTGTGTAGCAGCCATTCACTTCTTCACAGAGAAAAATCATATAAGCAAAACACATTTACAACTAATGGAGCCTAATACTATATCATTTTGTGGCTCTTTGCCCTGTAAGATTAAAAGGTGCTCAATTAAAGATTAGGGTTTAAACATTATGCTATTTGCAGGAAACATGTTACTGATACCTATCTGACATAATGCTGTTGCTCATGCTCATGTAATGAACCAAAGGCACATGTTTTTGGGTTCTCCAAGTAATCATTTCCCCACAGGTTTTAGATTCTCATAAAAACAAACACAACTTGCATGTTTTCCTGCAACTCATGTCTCAACAGCAGAGTGGGTCTAGCTTTGGAACTCCACTAAAGGGCAGCAGGCAGGCACTAACTACTTTGTGCTTCACCACATCGTTTCCATTGTTAACAATATCCACATTTCTGTACCATTTCACCAGTGGGGGCAACCAACCAAATGGGAGGAAACAAACAAGAACAAAACACCAAAATAAAGCATAATATCAGAACTCAAGTTTGGAGTTTCTTCAAGTCGAGGTAAACAACCCCTGAATCTGCAATACAAAATGTGGTCCTTCTGTGTACCTGTAATAAGTTTCCAAGCAAAGCT